AGTATTTTGTGGACATCACATACCTTGCCTAAGGAAAATAAGGAGTGAGATTAAAGCATTACTCTTGAGCTGAGATGGGCAACTATGTCACTAAGGTCCCTGCCCCACGTGACAGCTCTAAGCACCCAGGGAGGCTCTGCAGATCTGACTGTGGCCCAGTGTTTCCACCCCGTCTCCCGCTGCTCTCTGCCTAACATCCTGTGCTAGTTTTTGTGCTCATTTATTTTCCTATCTTTGTGCAGGTGTTTTTCTCTCCCTCCTGGAACACTCTCTACCCCCTACATGGCCTCCATCTTCTGGAATTTAAATTTTTACCACACCTCAGCCTCCTTTGATGTTTTAATCCTGCTCCCCATCCCCTTCCCTGGGCTTAGACCTCTGGGTGTACTGTCACTCATCTTCATGGGCTTCAGTGTACTTTAATTGTTTATATATTTTTCTTCCTCATGAGATGGTCATGGATAATTTTGCAACCTACCATTGCATGTCTATCCCTAGTGCTATGCTTGGCACCTGATAGGTGCTCAGTAAATATTTCATTGAGCAGATTTAAATGGGGGTAATAGTTAAAACTCTGAGAGAAAGTGAAATCTCTTAGAGAAAGAGAAATTTATATGATTTTCATGAATATTGTTATTTAAGAAGCAGACTAAATTCACAGATAAGTTTAAAAAGTTGGTTGTTTTATATTTTTTCTCAGAAAATATCTCTGATTATATTCCATTTTCCTCATCCATTCTTTCTTCTACTTCACAAGTAACAAGTCTTAACCTAATCAGGGGGTGATTCTTCTCATTCTTATTTAACTTCATGTTATTAACTGTTAAGTTCAATTATATGAGTTCATTCTTTCAGGGTCAAAAATGGTCATATATTGGCAATGTCTGTGGTTCAATCTAAAAAATAATGATTAAGAGCCAAGTCTTGCCCTTACATCTGCTACACAGCTCACACAGTCTGCATTTCTTGATGTGAGCAACTTTGATAGTTGAAAATGCAGCATGTGCATTTTATTAAAGACACTATGATTATCTGCGTGCAGCTTGATTTCTCTGGAGGTAATGAGACCTCAGCCCAGGGCACAATGCAAGCAAAGCCTGGCAGTAGGCTTTTGCATTCTGGAGCAAAGTGAACTCTATCACTACCTCCATGTTCACTCCTAACTTCCCACTGCATGACTCTTTCAAAGTTAAAATCATGCAACATCATTAAAATGTTAATATGTACCTTTGTGCCTATCCCACAATTGAATTTTCAAGTAGTTGATTACATTTCTCTCTGTGGGTTCAGGAAACCATTAGACTCACATTATCTAATTTATTGGACATATTTTGGTCCTTACAACTTTCCCATTAGTCATCCCTAAATACACTTAGCGCAGATGAATAAGGCAATGTTTGATGTGAATGAGCATCGCTTCCTAGAGAAAGAGCAGCCCAGGACTGCAGGATGGTGGGAAACCTAATGTCAGGGGCTCTGAGCGCAGTCCTCCGATGACGTCAGGAGAGTTTTACCTGTGGGTCACGTGAGTGTTGGTGTTAAGAAGTATTTCAGTGTTAATATGATTGTCAGTGTTCGTATTTTTTCTTATTGCTGATTCTTTAATTCTCTGTAACTTTTAAACTTAAAAGAATCCTTGAAACTAAATGTGCTGAAAATATCTTTTAAAAATAAGAAACACATTTAGATTCTGGTGCACAGCAAATTCCCTGTGAAGAAAAGTTCCAAATTTGTGACTCTATTTGCATTTCCATAAACACAGAGAATCTTTGTCTGTGCTTATTATGTGACAAATAACAGTGTTAGAAATGGGGTGTTTTAAGACTCTAGTTATGCATGTGCTCCCATTCTTACTGGTGCATTTACTTACAATGTGAGACAATATAAAACTTGTAATTGGGGTTCAAGAGCTTTTTTCCCCAAAACTGATATTTTAATGAATTTTAACCAACACTGACCTTGTTTAAAGTAAAGTATTAAGAGGTAAAAAACATGTCACTGCACCCTGGGAAGCAGCTTCTGAGATGGAAATGAGTATGCAAAATATTGAGGAGTGCCCAGAGATCAACCCCTGGAAAGGGAGGGAGCCAGCGCAGGCCAGGCAACCCTCCTGAGCTCTGCGGCTGACACAGATCCTTGGAGTTGCTCAAGTGTGCTAAAGGGAGTGTGCGATTCTCCCACCTCCCTCAGAGAGGCTCCAGTAGGCTTCAGGTTCTCACTCTCACATGGGAGTTCCAGGTCCAGGTGTGTCAAGGAAGGAGGAGCAGAAGTTCCGGAACTGAAAAGACTCTGTGGTCCCTCCACAGATGAGTGAGGGGGAGACACAGATATTGTACTTCAGGCCTGAAGGAGATACAGAGAGTCCATCAGACGGCGGCCAGCACACGTAGGTCTGGGGCTCACTCTAAGCATGTGTCTCTCTGGCTAGGTAAATACAAGTGAAAATTCATTAAAATTTCACAAAACCGTAACTTGAGTTTCTCACATTTCAGAGGCTCAGCAGCCACCAGTGACTGTTGTTGAGTTGCACGGCACAGGACATCTTGATCAGAAGTATTGGGATATTGGGAAATATCGGAATAAAAAAGAATAGCAAAAAGTTTTGTCAGATTCTCTGCTGTCCCATGCGGCATGTGACCCCGATGCTCAGAGGAGGTGTGCCTCCCTGAGGCTGCCAGCAGGTGCCTGCCCCAGCTGTTCATCCCCAGGGGCCACACTCTCCTCCCCTGAAACTGAGGGGACTCGCCCTCTGGTCTTTCTCCTTAATTCTGTTTTCATTTTCATTCACAAATGTTATTAATATGGTTCAGTGAACCATAAGTGGCATCTATAGCAACTGAAAAGCATTTCCATTCTCTTAAGGATGGGTCAGGAGATGAGGAAGTATTTGTATCCATTCCACTCGTTAAAGATACGGAAGATAATTAGTTGTTTTTATATTAAAATAGTGTCGATATATATACCCCGCCACATTAACACCCCTCCCCCAAAATGGAAAATGATAAAAATTATGACAGTGTGTGTATGTACTTTGCTATATTGTGAAGTAGAGCAAATGAAACATTTTAGAATTAGCCGACTCCCAAGCCACTCGTGTTTGATAATAAAACCCTGCTCGGTGGGGTGGCCTTCCCGTGTGTCACCTTCGGTAAGAGTTCAGTGCACATTGCTCTGGTGGCTTGAGTCACTGATTCCCCCACACCAGTCTCCTACGAGTGTCTGTCATGCAGACTGGGACTCTTATAGTGCTTCCCAAAGCTCTCCCAGGCTTGAAATCCTCGCCCCTGGTAGTACCCATTACTTTTTCTTCCTGGGGGTCTCAGCGGGCTGTCCCTGGCCATCACACAAACCCTCTGTGAAGCTGTGGACTTTGTTCATCCCCTGTTGGGTGTTCAAGGCCTAGATTGAAAGGTGGAGCTCAAGCAGATCTTCCCTTCGGCACGGCCTTTGGAGAGAGAGACACACATCCGTGGTCTCCTGGGTAAGGGAGCTGAACTAAATCACACACACACACGCACATGTTGCCTTTTTATACAACATGTTAGAGACTATACAACTGCACTCCGTAAAAGTCTGGCTCTTGCCCCACCTGGGGTGGGGGGCGGACACAGGAGAAGGATGCCATCCAGAGCGGGTATCCACAGGAGCCCTCAGTCCACAAGTTTGTGCTGCAGTCCCCAGACCATGATTCATTCCTTGGTTTTCTCGTCCATTCATTTATTGAAGCATATACATGACGAGCCATGGGCTAAGCTTACTGGGGCACTGACCAGAGGAGCAAAACCAAAAGTCCTTCAAATGAGAAGCAAATTATCCTGGGTGTTAATTTGATGTAGAGCCCAGCTAAGATAGGCTTGGGGTTGAGGTTAGACCAGGGCTAACCACTCCCACCCACAGGCAGACTGCTGAGTCCAGCATGCCTCAGGCAGCAGATGGAGCGGGGTGGTGAGAGGTCCTTCAAGTCCAGCCTGGTGCTCTCCCTTAGCCAGTGGCATGGACCTAGACCACAACTGTGTGCTACTCCAAGACAGGCAGAGCAGAGAAAGGATGGCAGGTGGCCTCCGCCTTCACGTGTCAGGGAGGTATGGCCAGTGAGTGAGTCCTTCCCTTACAAAGAGGAATCAGGTCATTCTCCTTGGACAAGGAAGAAGCCCTTATCTTGGTTGCTGGATCCAAGCAACATGAGAAGAGGTTTTAAAATTTCTTCTGTCTGCCCTTGAGATAGAAGATCTTTTAGGAGTGTTGCTGGGAGATCAGCAGGGCTGTGTGTGTGTGTGTGAATAAGACACGTAGTGTACCCAGTGTTGGAGGCGTGTGCCTAGCATGTCGCTGGAGTCTGTAAGTGCTAGCAGATTCTCTCCCCGTCCCCACTCGGCTATCTGATGAGTTTCTTGGGGAGCAGCCTGGTTCTGAGTAATGTGGGTGGGGTGTTAGCTGAATGGAATCAATGACTTTTACTATTGAGGGCTCCAGGTGCTTAGCACTGAACTAATTTAGTTTAAAAAAAGCAGTTGAAGTACAGAAATGTTTAGACTCAGAAGGGACCTTTGAGACCACAGAAATTCCCTCATCATTTTACCAGAGACCAGGTCCAGGGAGCCAGGACGATGGGGAGTCCAGCTTCCTGTTAAGGGGCTTCCCACGCTGCAGCACTCTTCCCTGGGGGCACTGTGTGGGCAGCATCTAGGTACATCAGTGTCCCCAAGACTCTCAAGTGGTGCATGCTGTTGGCTCCCAGATAATGTTTATTAAGCTAATTCACCAAATCCCATTCTTGGCTTTGGCAATAGTCGGCTAGCTTGTGGCTGTGTGGCTGTGGTGAACAGATCCAATTTGTGATGTGATCTTCTCTAGACTTCGTATAAAGGCTTTAATGTGGGATATGTAAAAAAGAATGAGAAGCTTTTAGCATCTTTTTTAAAAAATAAATATAGTATATATTTTTGAAGGTAAACCAGGGAGTAACTCACCACTTGTTACGTGTTGTGCTTTTATTTTAGGTAGAAGGAGTAATCAGAGGACGAACATCCAAGCCTGTGAAAGCCACCTCGAACAGCCCCAGAGAGCAAACCAAGGAAAGGTACCACTTCCCCAGCATTCTTCATTGTCATTCGTTAGTTAAAATGCAGCTCCTAAGGTGATACAATTATTTAAAGTTTAAAAACAATTTATACCATGAATGTTCATGTTTGTCCCCAAGTCCTTACACTCTGGATTTGTCGGGCTTGGGAACCCTAAAAACCCATGACTGCTGGCATTGACTGGACACAAGCTTGGGGCCAGGCACTTTTCTGGGTGCTCTCCCCACATCAACACATTTAACTCACAGGTTTACCTTTGCTGTACACAGGGGAAGCTGAGGGAGACAGAAATCACGAGCACCCTGGAGGTCATGCAGCCATGACCTACTGAGACAACTCTCGGGACCCCTGCTTGTACTGCTGCTCCCACTGCCTCTCTTTTATGATCCACTTGTCACCTGAGACTTCATGACTCTGAGGACTGCGTGGTATACAGTCCCTGTGACGGCCCTCCTGTCCATCTCCCCACTGTAGGTCATCTTTGGCCTTTGCTTCAATTCATCTCCCAGCTGGACTCTCCCTCTCTCTTGAGAATATTCTACATCCTTAGTGTTCCCCAAAGTTAGAAAGCCTCTCTGCCTCCCTTCGATTCCTAAGCGGGGATCCTGGCTCTGCCTCCCGGAACACTCGAGAGCAATGCCAACCTCCCTAGAACATGGCAGCCTGCAAAGCATTTCACGCAAGGCTCTCCCGTTTCTCAGTTCTCCTTTAGAATGAGGTCCCTGCTCTTCCAGCTCTCCTATTCTTGTGATTTTCAGACTCTTCCCATCCAGATGGTAAAATCTATTTTGAACCGAGGCAAACTATCTTTGTGACACAAATGTATATGCTAGAATTACCATCATAAAAATACCTGAACAAGAGCTATATTTATGTTTTGCATAATAAATTAGACACTTGTATATTCAAAGACAACTGTTGAAATTGAACTGTTGTAGAGATTTTTAAACATGGGATTTATTTGAACGACAGGTATGGAATTGAATTCCTACTGAAAAGTGGGTTGCTGTTTTTAACCACGGGAATCACTCATATTTCCCAACTTAGTGATTTCCATTGCAGATACAAGATTCCAGGGTATCATGGCTATTATGAATATTCACAGTGGCAATTAACCCCCAGCACCCTTGACACATATAAAGAGTCTGAATCTAATTTGTGAGGAATCACAGGGATGGGAAGCCAAATCATTGCAAACAGTTTGGAGCTGGTTTTCAGACCCCAGGAAAACTATCATTACCGTAATTACACTTGAGGATTGGAGGTATCTTAGCACAGTTGTATATAGTTGAATATTTGCAGAGTCTTTCCTTTTCATTTTCATTACTGAGAAGTGCTTCCCTCATAACCATACATAAAACATCTCTGTGAAGGTTGGTTGTTTGTGGGGCTCCCTAAACGTTGCACAATCTTGTTGCACTTTTTTGTTTTTTTGGTACCAGAGATTGAACTCAGGGGCACTCAGCCACTGAGCCACATCCCTGGCTCTATTTTGTATTTTATTTATTTAGAGACAGGGTTTCACTGAGTTGCTTAGTGCTTCACTGAGTTGCTTAGTGCCTCACTGTTGCTAAGGCTGGCTTTGAACTCGTGATGCTCCTGCCTCAGCCTCCCTAGGTGCTGGGATTATGGGTGCGTGCCACTGCGCCCAGCTTCTTTGTGCACCTTTTCACACTATGTTGTGCCCATCACATCTGGCTGGGCAACGCCATTAACCAAACGGCTGCCCGTGAAGCCTGTATGCAGGTGCAGAGAGGGCCGCAAGAGGCCTTGGCCCTCTCCTACTGGAGTGGCCTGTTTCCTACTGTGGAGGCACAGTGGGTGGAAAGGACCCATGGGGCAGGGTTCTGCTCGTCAAAACTGGAGGGTGACTTCTAGAGAACTCTTGTGGTCCCATGACACTTTAATGCCAAGGAAGAGGTGCAACTCCCCAAAACTGCAGGTATCTATTGAGTGGTGACCCTGTGTTACCTGGTGCTACACATTGTCTCATTGTCCTTGATCTTCAAAATAGCAATGCTAGTACATAATTAGTGAGGTTCAGAGAGGGTGAACTTGCCCAAGGTCATGCAGTTGGAGAGTGGCAGGACCAGGACTGTGAGACTTGGGCTGCCCACTTACTCTCAACTTGGCATCTTTTGGTGAACAAGAAGATCTTTATTCTAGAGTAATCAAAATTTTAACGTTTTCATGATTGGTGCTTTGTTTGTCTTCTTGTAGAAGTCCTGCCCTACCTTGAGGTCAGAAAGATGGTTCCTTGTGTTGTAAGGCCTTGTGGTTTTGCCTTTCATGTTTATGTATGATCGGTCAGGAACTGATTTTTGCTTAAAGTATGTCCTCCTAATTTTTCCAGTATGGACACCTTCCTGTCTCATTGTCTCTTATTAAAATTTATCCCTCTGAATTGGTCACCAAAGTCTCTCTGTGTCACAGATCTAGCATTCATGTGTGGATTGGTCTGATTGTTCTCTCTGTTCCACTTCCTTAAATTCCACAGCTTTATAATAAGTCTTTGTAAATGGTGAGAAACATCTTCTTCCCTTATTCTTCAAGAGCAAGTTGGCTATTCTTGGCCCTTTGCACTTCCATATAAATTTTAGAATCAACTTGCCAAGTTTCACACATGAATTACATTGTCTATTTTGCATTACTACAATGAGAAAACTGAAGCAAGATAACTTACAAACTGTATTGAGTTCATGGTTTTAAAGACTCAAGGTCATGATGCTGGCATCGGTTCTGCTCTGGCAAGAACCCTCCTGGCTGTGCCACATTGTGAGGTAGGCACATGTGTGAGGAAGCAACCACATTACCACACAGGAAGCCAGAGAGAATCAGACCTCAGATTCAGGCTGTTAAGACCATTTCTTCTCCTGAGAACTCACTGGAAGACCCGCATTCCAGTCTGTGTGCAGCATGCCCTCGTCACCTAAGGTCCTCCCCTAGGTTCCTTAAGCTCCCACATAGTCACACTGGAACCAGACTCCCAACCAGCCTGTGACAGGTAGGGGGACAAACCACATCCAGAGCATACCACATGCACACTCACTCTCTCATACACATGTACAGGGATTTATTTTGAATTGGAGGTATAGATCAATTTAGGGTGAAAAATTTTATAATATTAGTATCTGTCTTTTTCTAATTTGTATTTGATGTCACTCTAAAATTTTATAAATTTTTTTATAAGGGTACCCATGTTTTATTAATTTTTAGTTGTGTGAATTTTTTTTTTTTTTTTTGGCCAGGTAACCAGGGATTGAATTCAAGCCCTCAACCACTAAGCTACATCCCCAGCCCTATTTTGAATTCTATTTAGAGACAAGGTCTCACTGAGTTGCTTAGTGCCTTGCTGTTTCTGAGGTTGGTTTTGAACTCGCAATCCTCCTGCCTCAGCATCCCAAGCCATTGGGATTATAGGCATGCACCACTGCACCTGGTGGTGTATGATATTTTTGATACCGGTATAAATACATTTTATTTTATTTATTGCATGTTGCTAGTATGTAGACTCATAATTTGATTTCTTTATTGCTTTGTTTGTTATGTGATAAAATACACATAACATCAAACTGACTGTTTTAACCACTGAAAGTGTAAATTCAATTATACTTATTTTGGTCAAAATTTTGTGTAGTCATCAGCACTATGTAATTCACTTTTATGTTTGATTTAGTATCCAACAATTTATCTCTCTTACTATTTCATTAATTCATCTGAGGGTTCTTTTAGATTTTCTATATACCCATAAAGATGATCCCTTTCTTTCTTCCCAATCATGTTCCCTTTTATTTTTCGTGCCTTATCACATAGGAAAAGATCCCATAATAATGTTAAATAGAAAACTTATTTCCAGCACCTTAGTCTTATTGCCAGTTCCTGAGGGGAACTTTTGTCATTTTATTACTAAGTCTAATATAGTTGAAAGTTAGTAAAAGTGGTTTTATGATCCATGCTTTCATTTGCTATTATCAGAAGGTTTTGTGTTTTTCTATTTCCATTCTTATTTCTTCTCCTTCTCATGCAAAGTGCCCTTTGCCCTGAGATTATTATTTTTGCTACGAGTTGTCCTATTCAGGATAGTAGTTCTCTGGGAAGCCTTCAACCAACCCAACTTTTGTACCTGACTTGCATTAGTTAGGTTGTTGTGGCTACAGGTAACGGAATATGTAAGATGGATTTTAAAATTTAAGGTGTTTAATTACCCCAAATTACATCTCCTGTGGAAGTGGGTGGTCTTGTGGGTGGTTCAGTCACTGGGCAATCAAGGCCCACCCAGTTTAGCCTTTCCATTCATGCTGCAGAGGAATCCTGCAGCTTCAGTGGCAAATCCTCTCATCAGCAACCTCCAGGGGCAGGTGCCCGGGGGGGAAGCAATGGTAGGCAAAGTTGTGGCCCTTCAAGATGGACCTGTCCTAATACCCAGAGCCTGCGAATAGGAAATCTTATGTGTCCAGGGGAAATTAAGGTGGCAGAAGGTACCAGATGACCTGACAGTAGGGAGAGTGCCCTGGAGGATGCAGTAGGCCCAGTGTAACCACATGGTCCCTTATCAGTGAAAGAGGGGAGGCAGGAGAGCCAGAGCCAGAGAGACGAGCATGAGGCCGACTCGACTTTTTATGCGCACTTCTGCTTTGAAGATGGAAGGGGTCCCGAGCCGGGGAAGGTGGGCAGCCTCTAGAACTGGTCCAGGAGGCAGTTGAGCCCTAGAACCTCCACAAAGAAGGCCATCCTAGAACCTTGACTTTAGCCCAGGGAGACCCATGTCAGACTTCTGACCGACGTGACTAAGAAAATACATGCATATTGTTTTAAGCCTATGAGTTGTGGTAGTTTCTTTGTATACGTGTTCCAACAAAATTTGGGGGGCTCTAGAATTTCATTTGATTTTTACATAATAAATATTCCTTTTTAAAAATTTTCAACTTTTTTTTTAATAAAAGACAATCAGTTAAATTTTACTTTCCTTTTTAATTAACACATTCTTAGTAATTGTATACTTTTGTGAGTGCACTGTGATATTCAGTCTGTGTGTGCAGTCTGTACCGAGAGGATCAGGACAGGCTCCTGGTCAGCAGATATGCATCCCCAAGCACTGGTATGGGGCGGGGGGGTTTAGTCAGCTTTTCCACTGCTGTGACTAAAAGACCTGACAAGAACAATTTTAAGGAGGCAGCCTTCAGGGGCTCTGAGTCTGCTGTTCTTTGCCTGGCCTCCCACACTTACTTTGAAGTCTCAGTGGAAGCCTCCATGAATCCCCAACTCCAGCTTTCTATATTCCTGAAGAACCAGCACCTCATGGTTGATGCCAAAGTTTGCCACCATCTCCAGCAGTAGCTAAGCCTCTTGGGACCATGGCTGCAGCCTCTGAGTGCCCAAGGAGAAGCTCACCACGGTGTGGCCTTGCTATTGAAGCAGTATGCTCCTTGGTCTCTTCTCAAAGCTATTTTTACTTTTACAACTTGGAACCTGAGCTGCCATCAAAGCCATCTTTCCTATTGTTTTTGTGAAAAGCACTTAGCATTTCTTTCGTTTCTGTAATCTCTTCAACAACCACGTCTTCCTTAGTCACAGGTTTACATGCAATTTTTTTTGGCCAAATTGCAAGTTTTTCAAAATTTCTGCTCTGCTTTCTGCTCCTGATTATAACAAACTTAACAAAGAGCCGCCAGCAATATCCATGCTACCACCTGAATAGCATGTTGCCTTGAAATTTTCTCCACAAGATAAATTAGCCCTTACCTGTAAATTCAGCCTCATAGAAAGTCTCAGAACATGGGCAAAATGCAGAGAAGTTCTTCGCAGGAATATAACATGAATCACCTCTATTCCATCTCCAACAGTGTCCTCCTCCTCCTCTGACACTCCAGGAGCCCAGCCTTTACTGTGGACAGTCCTACTGGCACTCTAATCCTCTGAGCAGTTTCATAGCTGTACAGGTCAGAGACCTCCACACAATGGAGGCAGCATGAAGACTCCCTCTTCAAATCCCTATTCTTGTGATCACGCCAGAAATATTTCAGACATGTTGTTCAGAATAACAAGATTGAGTTTATTAGAAGAGATAGGAAAGGGGAGAAGAGGACAGTCCCAAGGGAGAGAGTGGTCCTCTCAGAGACGACAGGGCTGCTGGCATCCCTCTCCTGCCCTCCCAGTTTTATGGGGGGGGCGGGCAGGGGCCCAGTGTAGTTCTCCGAGAGTCCCACCCAGGTCCATGTTGACCTCTGACTGAGCAAAGGTACTGCATGGACTGCCTCCAAGAGAGGATGGTGTGGTGGTCACAGAATTGGGAATTTTAAGAAAATTGAGTCCCCCTGGTTTTGCTTCAATTTCCTGCCCCTTCAATCAGTTTATTACCCTTTGAATAACCTCCAGTAAGTCTATTTGTTAGGGTCTTGATGTTTTAGTTGCCAGGGTGATTGGGAGTTGTGACACAGTTTCAGGGATAGGGGAGGGTCCAGGCCACCCGGTAGTGTGTGACATGACCTTGAAACAATGGTTTTTCTTAAGGGGATGCAGCTATGACTGGGGGAGGTCGTAACATTTCAGGACCCGTCTTCCAGGTGCTCACCTGTCGTATGAGGCTCCTTGGGGTTTTCAATCCCTTTTACTGTCTTTTCTTTGCTCACCCATTCATGGCTGACTAGCAACCTGTTAAAGAAGTCACTGAATTCCACAGCGCACAGGCATCTGGGAAGAAGCTGTGTCCAGGGGCTGCCCGTGCTCCAGCCACGTAGGTGGAGCAGCCATTCCCCTTTTCTGCTCGACTGCATCCTTGGGCATCTTTCAGGGCACCTTCGGATCCCACCCCTTCCACCTCCTCAGAGAACGCACAGCCCATTTGTGACTTCTCCCTTCTCCTGTGGAACAATGGTGTATAGTGTGCAATTGGAGGTTTTAAAAGACACTAGTTTATATACTTTGACTACTTTGTACTTTCCTCAGCAGATCCACATGTATTTGTGAATATGCTTAAAGGGATTAAAAACTCAGATGCCCGTAAGAGCTTAGCAGAGCACGAGCATGAGGGGGAGGGGTGAAAGGTGAACCTGACCTTCTTCCCAACAGAAGGCTTCTGCTGGGTGGATTGAGTCTAGGAGCACGAGTGTGGAGCTCTCACATAGGACTGACTGTTACTTTCTTCAGTTTGGAGAGCATTTATTACCTAATTTCATTATTCCTCCAGTAGAACAGTAACAGTTTTCGCTTACTCAGCACGTACTTACGTAATACACCTGTATGTTAGGGGTACAAGATGAACAAGAGAAAACCTTGCTCAAAGGTGTCAGTCTGCAGGAAGGCAGGCCATCACGAGACAGTAATGTGATTCTACAGCAAATTCTGTGTTAGAGCAAAATGAGGTACTACCAGGGACCTTGTCTCTCTGCACGACTGGATTCCCTGGTACCTGCCATAGTGGTGCTTAACATATACCACCTGTTGAATGAATAAATGAATGGGCTAGTGACTCCAAAATAATTTGGCTAAGTATCAAAAACCACTAGGGAGACTTTATAAAAATACTTATCATTGGGCCCAACTCTAGGCCTATTGACTAACAATTGCCAGGAAAGTGACCCAGGTCAGTTTCTTCTATGACAATGACTTTGGGAATCACTGGGTAGTGCAGGTTCTTCCTGGTTCTGATTCATTTGTGCTATTGCTGAGAGAACTGGGTGGACACAGCAGGAGCAGGTTCTCATGGGAGAGGAGGTTAGTGGACTATTTGTTGTGCAACTGAACCTCAGTCCAAATGCCCCTGCTAAAGCCCGACAGGCTGGATTGTGAAAGGCAGCAAGCTCTGGCAACCTGACTGGCTACATTTAGGAGTGAGACCTGTTGGATCCTGGCGGTGGGACTCTGCCAGGTGTCTATCACTTCAACCATCAAAAATCCTTAGGTAAGCAGAGCCTCCCAGGTGACCCCTCCTTCAGATACCTGTGCACCAGCACAGCTCTGCAATGCCTCTGAGCACTTTATTTCTTATGGGCCAGAACTGTGCTTCCACAAGGCCCTATGCTACTCAAAGCCGAGGACAGTATCTTGTTTTCATCCATGTGCTACATAGATATCGAAACTTGCTAATGTTTGCTGAAAAATAAGTTGATTCTGTTCAAAACTTGATTATAAATGGTGTGATATTAATTTCCCTTTGCCTTTTTTGTTGTAGAAGCAAGCAAGCTGAGAAACTAGAAGTAGATCCTAGCAAGCATTCCTACCCTGATGTGACTACCATAGTTCAAGAGAAAAGCCACAGGCCCAGAAGACTGGCATCTGAACACAAAGTCATGCCAAGTGAGGAAGACGCATACTTTGAAGATAACCCTGAAGTGCCTCCACTGATTTGAGACATCAGGCTGCACTGTCATTGGCTATGACATGCCACGCCCCCTTTGCTCAGGGCAGAGAGTCAATGGTCGTCATTTATGGGGTAAACACAGAACTACCTTTCATTTTGCCACTCCTGTGTTTCAACTCCTACTTTGTACAGTAGTATTCTTAAGCAAGTTTGAAATTAAAATGAATATCTTTAATATGCTGTAACTTATTCTTTGTCTATAATAAAGGACTGTCTAGTGAAAAATTAAGTGAAAAGATAGGATTATTACATAAAATATTGATAATAAGTCACCAAGTACCTGCTTATGCAATAGTCCTAGGTGTAAGGACTGACTATTAGATTGGTACTTCACCAAACCGGCCAAGCTCAGAAGTTAGAGCTGTAATTTAGACCCAATTAGAATGCTTTAAAGCAGTTTTAAACAGTGTTTCACTATCTCTTCTCCTGACATGTCTGCTTTCTCCAGTGGCTCCGTGACAGGGCAGGAATGTGAGTTCTGACATTAGATGCCCTGTATCGGGGTTCCAGCCGAGTCACTCTGTGAAGACCTTCAACAAGTTCTCCCATCCCCCAGCCTAGTGGCTTCATCTGGGACCAGCGGTGGTGATGCTCGTCCCGTAGGGTGTCTCAAGATCGGCACCTAGTCCAGCGCCTCCCGTGCGCGGAGCCCTGCTCCTCCTCCTGCCCCCTCCTCCCCTGCTTGCTTGATGACTTTTCTCTCATTTCCTTTTTCTTCACCTTCTTCCTCCCCATCATCCCTTCTTGCTCTACTTCCTTCTTATTGGATGTCTTTACTTCTTCTCTGTCGAGAACACTATGGACACACATTCATCATAAACCACAGGGGAAATTGCTCCAGCCATAATACAGCAACAACTAAAATCAGATTTCCCCCAAACAGCCATTCAACAGGCGCTTCCTGAGTCTGTCTTGAGCAGTGCAGCTGTTCACGTGGGACTCCTCAGTGCTGCAGCTTGGGTGCAGTCCGAGGGTGTCCTCCCAAGGTTGATGCACTGGGAGCCGGATTCCATGTGGCAGTATTGGAAGGTAGTAGGACCTTTAAACAGGAGGGCCTAGTGGGAGGCCCTTAGGTCATTGGAACTGCTGCCCTCAGAAGGGAGTACTGTCTCCTGGAGTGAGTTCTCACAAGAGCAAGTAGTTCTAAAACCCTGAGCCTGACCCCTAGCTATCTGGCTACCTTCCTCACACTTGTGTTCCTATCATCACGTGACCCCATCCAGTGTGAGGCCAAACTACTGGGTTGTCTGATCCTGGACTTTGAGCCTCCAAACTGTGAGCTAAATAAACCTCTTTTCTTCACAAAGTCAGCATGCCTCAGGTGTTTGCTTACAATAGTGCAGAACAACTAATACAAGGGCAAAACTGTAGCCAAGTATATAAACAACCTCATGTCAAGTGGTGATGAGAGATGCAAGGAGAGTGAGCAGGGCAAGGCATTCAGGGCAGTTGGGTTCTTTTTTAGATAAGGCCTCTCTCTCAGAGAAAGGCTTCTGATAGGCTCTGTTAATAACTTATCAGAGAACCAAAATGCATCAGACGGAAAACCGAACCACTGGGAACGTGATGGGATTGAGGGGTTGGTTACAGGAATGCGGTTGTCACAGGTGTGGGAGGAGCTGGGAGTGAGTGGGGAACTGGGGGAAGATACCTAGTGTAGGTGACGATCGGAGCTTGCGGAACCTGAGCTGCTGAAGAGGACAGTGTCCAGGGACTTCAGGAAGATCCGTGGAAACTTGCCTGGGTTTGGCTGCTGCCTGTGGGATGCCTGGCCACACTCCCCGGGTTGGGATGGGGATCAGCATAGCTCTCCTTGGGCAGCTGGTCACGTGATTGCAGCTGGGGACTGGTGCATGGTTTCCTTCTTTCTCTACCTTCTCCGTTATTTTTCTCTCCCCAAGCACTTTAGCTGGTGATCGTTCTGGCCAGGTGGGGCCACCAACCTTCATTCCTGCAGTTTCTAGGCCACTGTCAATCTCACCTACATTGTGTTACTTAGTTTCCATGTAGGGTCACCTTGGAACTTGTAAGTACTAAGAAATGCCCCAGGAACCACCTGAATCTCACTATATTCCTCCTGTGCTCCCCGCACCCTCTGTGGGCAGCAGTCTTTCCATTTCCTGTGACGGCCCAGCTGCCCAGCCAGTACACTGCGTTGTTCTTGTCCTGTTGGCTCGCTGGACATGACTCCAAAGGGGCCTGACGTTGGAACTTGCAGCTAGAAGACCGCTGTCACATTCTCTGTTGTGCACTCTTCCCTCTGGAACCAACATGCCCCCACACCAGCATGGCCCAGAGTTGCAGGAACAGGGATTTCAGTCAATGGCCCTGCAGTGCTCCTGCTGACAGCACCAACATTCAGCCATTGTCCACATCCAGGCCAGTCAAGCCTTCCGACCACTGCATCCTGACCTGTATTTGACTACAACGGAAGTGACTCCAAGAAAAAACTGCTGAGGTTTCCTAAAATCTAACCCACAAACAGCAGAATGCAAGATTTACATTAGTCTTCTAAATTTGGGAGCAATTTCTTTTGAAGCAACGGCAACAAGAGCAGGTTTGGGAGCTGGGAGTGGAGTGCTTACCTAGGACAAGCTTGAGACCAGTGGCCCAGGCTTGGGACCAAGGAATGGCCAAGCTGGAGAGACCTGGAGGAGGCTCATGCGCTTGGATGTCCAAAGGGAGAGGTGTTACTTTTCTGAGGCCCACCTCCATTTGGGGGTTCCTACTTTGTAACCCAAATTCACTGAGAGGCTCTTCAAGGGTCCCCTAGGGCAGCTCTGAAGAATGTTTCCTGAAGTTGATGACTCACAGGTTGGTGCTTGATTCATGCCAGGAAAATTAGTCTGGAAGGCCAGAGAAGGACCGCGAAGAGTGTTCAGCCTTAGGGGAGAGTGCGCAGGTTGGGACCGTGACTCTTGAATCTGGGTTTCTGCTCTTTCCAGATTCTTCCTGTGTACCCTCCTGCCTCTTTCCCTCTGATGGTTACTCAGTTTCTTATTTCCAGAAGGCTCCTCTGCTGGTGCCTCCCACATCAGCACCAGAAGGCACAGGAAGGGCCTTCAGTCCTCCTACCTGTGCCCAGGAAAAAGAAAACCTCACCAGGTGTGATGGCCGGACACGCTCCAGCCTGGGCACCTTCCCTCTGTTTTCTTCCAGGCTCTTCCTGAGCTGGCCTGTCTTTGTCACTGTCCACCACATCCCCACTGTCCCCAGCACAGCTGTTCACAGCTCTGCATTCTGCTCCCAGCTACCATGACAAGCCTGCTGGCAGCGGGGCCCCCTCCATGTGAGTGGTCTCTAAAGGTCAAGAGGAGACAACTGACAGTGACCACTGGTGGGGGCTTGAGCAGGCTCAAGACTCCAGGCCTGAGCGCAAGGGTGCCGTTCATTCACGGGAAGGCTGCCCTCCGCTTAACAGCTGGGGCTGCACCATGCAGCGTGTGTCTGTCACCATCTGCAATCTGTCACAGCCTGCCTGACACATTGGGATGGAACGTGCTCCCCATCTCCTGTTGCTGCTCGCCAGGCCAGTGGGTCTGCCGCTCTGTAGCAGACCTTAGCTAAAGTGAGCTGTTCCTTCACACGTCCGCCCCTTAATTGTTCTTCCTCTCCTTTGTCCCTGTGCTTCCTTGTCACAGGGACAGCTTCTGCTTGCCCGTCTGCGGGGCCTCCCCACTCAGCACAGACGTCTGAGCACCTAGCAGGTGTAAGGAGCACCTCGGTGCACGAGGGCTTCTCCACGGAGAGCTCACTCTCCCGGTTTGTTTTCTGCCAAGGACTCCTTTGTGTCCAGAGGCCCCTTGCCACATGACTCCTCTGCTTCTTCTCACCGTGTGCTCTCCCTGAACCCCACGTCCCTGCTCCTGGAGGCTCTACCAGCAGGACACTGATGCCTCTGGAGGCTCACTTCAGGTCTGGGCTCGTGTCCACATCCCTGTCTCGTCTCCTGAACACCCTACAGATGGTCATTGGTCACGTGGGAGTCTTCTTCCCACTGTTTCCTGCCACGGCACCTTCCCTGACTCTTGTCTTGCTTTTGTTCTGTGGAGTAGCTTTCCAGTCACCCAGATTAGAAGCCACCATCACTGCAGCTATGTCCAACATTCAGTGGCAACAAAGTCTGGCCAATCCTGCCTCAAACAGAACATCCCCAGCTCCCTCCCCGTCCGTCTCCGCCACCCCCACTCAGTGCCCTCATCGTGGCTGTGCCCGTGCTGCCTGCTCCTTTCCCTCTTCCATATAAACACGCCCTTTGACTGTCACCTAGGGAATGAGTCTGAGGACACCAGGCCTGACCCCTGAGGGGCCCACCACACCATTTCTGAGACCCAGTGTGGGTTGTGTCTGTTGACTTGTCAGGGACATCTGAACTGAGGTGGGGGGTGTGTGGGCTCTGGAGGTCCAGGTGAGCGCCACTCAGAGTTGGAGAAGAGGAAGGTCGGGTTGCCAGGGTCCAGAGAGAGAAGATTCCCGCAGGTGGAGGGGAGGCAGGACAAACACGCAGGCACCTATTCCTCGACAAAAGCATCAGTTGTTGGAATCATGATCAACAAGTGGAGTCCTCTTCAGAGACAAATGAAGTCCAACAGGGGCCATTACCTTGTCTCAGCTGCTCTGGGAAAGTGTCCCAGTTCACAGTGCTTCAAGGGCAAAAATCACTGACCACAGGGACCCACAAGCAACCCCTGCAGCACCAGGGTTTTAGAGAATCATGTCCCTCACTGCTCCCTTCCACATCAAAGGAAAGACTTTGAAAGCCTGTTCTGCTTACTGTTGCTACCAATAGACCATTTTGTATTCAGTGACAAAAAAAAAAAAGCAAGATTATTATGCTCACAGTTTCTATAGGTCAGAAATAGTGACAGGAACAATGGGGACAGCTTGTCCTGTACATAAAGGAGTTTTTTATGTCCTGAGCTTCAGCCTGGAAGACCCAGAAGCCTGGATAAATTGAAGCCTGGAGGTTGGACTCATCTAGAAGCATCCTCACTGATTTTGTCATGCATCCTGTTGCTAGTATAAGGCATCTATATGCTGAGCCCTTGAGTCCTCTTAGCAAATCACCAAATCCAGAGATGGTCCTGTGGGTCCCCAACACACTCCTCCATCAAATTCTCTCCCTCTCCCTGCCCCATAAGTCTTCCTTCTGCCGTTCTACCAGCTGCCAGACCAACCCCAATACTCCTGGCCAACAGCAATGAATAGAGCTGAGGTGGACCCAGTCTATATGTATGCCAAAATGCATACTCCCCAACCTAATTTTTATTTACATTTTCCTGTTTCATTAGAGTTTACCTGCATTACTGTATATCTCAAAATTCTGTGGAATGAAATGGTATAAATATATAGATGAAGGCTATTTTATCATGTGCAAGGTAGAAATTAATAACACTATATTTTTGCATATAAACAGTAGACTACTAAATGATCCTTGGGTTAAAAATGAAATAAATGAAATTACTGGGTTTAAATAATAATCAATACTTTCATGTCAAAAATTGAAAAAAAGATGAACTTACAGCTCTCTTACAAATAAATAAATACCAAATATTTTAACATATGAATAAGTGAACCAATAGGATATTACAACTCGTTCAGAAGACAGTACGGGAATCACTAGCACGTAGGCGACAACATTGCTGAAATGAATTTACATTTATAGATACCAAACCAGCCTGGCCAGAGGCAGTGATGAGTTGCACATCCCTGACGTAATTTGCATGGTTACCAGTTTTCCACAACTTCCTCAGTTGTGAAATAAACAAAGAGCAGTGTCCCGCAGGCCACCCAGTAATCCAGGGTGGCCCATTTCAAAACCTCTCGCAACTTTTCTTGACACTTTAAATGCATTTTTAAAAAAAAAATATCAAATACAGAAACAAACTTAGAACTCAACCCAGATAGTTAGAAGATAAACATGGACACTCAAAGTGTACAACCAGGGGGTGGGGATGGGCTCAAGCGGTAGCGCGCTCGCCTGGCATGCATGCGGCCCGGGTTCGATCCTCAGCACCACATACAAACAAAGGTGTTGTGTCTGCTGAAAACTAAAAAATAAACATTAAAAAAAAGTGTACAACCAGAAGAATGAAAAGTTAAACTCCATTTATGTATGATGTGTCAAAATGCATTCTACTGTCATGTAGGACCAAATAGAACAAATAAAAAAACGAAAAAGGTTGCACTGAGATTTCCTCTCACTCTAGTCAAAGTAACAATTATCAAGAATACAAGCAACAATA